TAAGTTTCGCATTAGAACAATCAAGTGTTCTGGGATTCCCATTCTTCTCAGAGTCAGCCATACTTTGTTACTTTCTCAAAAAACATTTGTTGAATGGATTAAATGAATTATTTTCCTCCAAACAGTACTTATTATCTTTAAACACATCCCCATCACAGCCTGCTTGAGAAAGACAATGTTCACACCCTATTAACAGATTTTTAGAATTAAGATTATCAAATTTAAAATGTAGACATAACTCTCCAATTACCTAGCCAGACCATTCATATAAACTAGTAAGGATATCTATTGATTTGTCTTACCACATTGGATTTGTTATATTTGTTAAACATCTTGAAAACACTCTGAAGAAATAAGATTTAATGTGGAAACTTCTGCCAAACTCTGGAGTACTTTTTCAACCCCTGGAATGTGAATACTAATCTTATAGTTGAAAGTGGTATCAAAGATAACACCTATATTTGAACACAAAAACACTATACAATATCTGCAGGGCCATGTTTTAGTATGGAAAAAGTTGTTTTGGTATTTCATCAACAAAATGTCCTTGAATGTAAAAACATCATATGAACTTCTATATCACAATAAATAAGACTCTAGCAATGTACAGAATAATTATAACTTAAAGCTATATTTTGAGTTAATTATAATCTTTTAGAAAAGGTCCATATTATAAAACATTATCAATCACAAAAGTCTTCGTTGCAAATGTCATCAGGAAAATACAAGTCTTTACTTTAGAAATTACATCTGTGTGCTCACTTTGGCAGCACATATACTAAAATTGGAATGATAGCATGGCCCCTGTGCAAGGATGAAACGCAAATTCGTGAAGCGTTCCATATTTCTAATGAAGGAATGGGGGGGGGAATTAAATGTAAAGAAAATGCTGTAATATGTTGCATTTTAAAAAATCAATAATAAAAAAAGCAGTTACTATAACAAATAATGCTGCTGTAAAAAAAAAAATTACATCTGTATAATTATTTGCCAATGTCCTATTTTTTAACTGACTTGGGGATCACAATATAAAAACATTCTTGGGTACCTTCTTATACTTTCCCACAACCAGCAATAGATGGAGAAATAAGCCATGGCACACACTTCTATGCTGTTCTTTGGTCTCTTTGTATTTAATGTGTTTTTGACCTGTAACTAAAAAATTTATGTCAAGACTAGTCTTTCATTGATAATTCCTCCTTTCTTCCTGGATATGGGCTAGAAAACTAGCAATACCTACCCACCTTTCAAAAAGCAGAGTTTCCTGATTTCTGAGCACTTATTACCATAGAGTCAGAGCTCACTCACAGCTGACCCTCCAGCAGATTTTCAGAGGTGATTAACTGCATGAGAACAGACTGTCCATCTTTCTCCCACAGAGCTGCTGGTGGCCTCAAACCAGTTGCCTCTAGGTTTGCAGGGCAACTCGCTATGGACTAGGCCACCAGTGCTCCCTAAGCTAGCTGGCATCCTCATATTTTTCAGCCTTCACTTTCTCATAATAAAAATTAAGCAGCTGCGTACAGTGACTTTTACTATTTTCCAAGCACACAGGAAAAAAGGGGAGGGGGAAGGAGGAGAGAGGCCTGCTTCTTTGAAGAAGAACTAAACCAAGAACACGATGTACCATTCTTAAGTGAAATGTAAACTTCCTACTGAGGGAAATTCTTCCTTTCAATTTGTAAAATCGGAATTCCAACTAATCAAGTTTAGGCAATGGGAAAGAATGCAATCCCCGAGTATTCTCCCTGAGTCACAGCTTTTCACTTGATTTCTAACCTTTCAATTTTTTTTATCCTAACTATAGAAACAGGTGCTGAGAATTGCTGGTCTGAGTCTTATTTTCTCCCTGGAAAGATCCACACATCTTCAATGATCACTTGTATAAGAAATATTGTTATTTCTCTCCTATTTTGCTTTAGTATCAATTTGATTCACACTCTTTTAATTCCCTGCCCTTTCTCTTCCTTAAAGCAGAAATGAGGGATTCAGGTGATACAAAACTAAATTTTCTGGTTTTCATTTGCTTAATTTGAAGTATTATGCCTGGGTTAACGTAGCAATCCTGCTTTTCTAAGTGCTGGTAACTCTCCCTTGTGATATAACAATTTTGGACCTTGCTTTCAAAGACCCTTGTCCTGACTTTCTCTTGTTTTTTACTTTCATGTGGTGCAGCTCTCGACCTTATACTACTGCACAGGAGTGCAGAGAAACCTAGAACAGGTAAACAGAAAAAACAAAACTCACTGTTGTCAAGTCAGTTCTGACTTGACAGGTGGCCATCCATCTATTTCCTGAGGCTGTAAATCACATAGGAGACTGTCCACCAAAAGTGTGGCCTTTTGATTACCACTACAGTTCTTTACAGACTCTGATACCAGAGGTCCCTAGAATGGACAAAGCAGAAGCCAAACATCATGTATTCTCCACTCCTATTTTGGGGGAACTTCATTCTAGTGGCCAAATTCTAAATGGTTTAAGTTTTGGCTCATGGTTTTCAAGTCAAAAACCACATATCGCAAGTGTTTCAGGCACAGTATTTGTACTAAAAACTACACCTACAAAGAAGTAACATTCTTAATTAACCACCTACCCATCCATCACATAGCTACATTTGTCTATCAGACTCAGAGATGCTGCTTTTGCTCCACTTGTCCCTCAGAGGAACTGGGAATGAGGATGGTCATAGAAAAGCATGACTCTGACTGGTTTCTCCAGCCAAAAATACTAGTGTGAGATGAACAACAAACCCATAAAATTGAGAAAGTGCTTGGTGATAACTAGTACTACTATCAAGAGGTGGTTAGACGCGCAATCACACTTTTATTTTCCTTACGCTTTCTGACTGGAGATTTAATTTAATTTTGTCATGGCAGGATTAGCAACCAGGCCACAGAGGTGAAGGGACATTATAATAAGACAGCACATTAATCCTCTATCCCACCCAAGGCAGAAGCAAAACCAAACAAATAGCAGCTTCCTGGAAATTGAATTTCTGTTATCCAGATGTCAAAGATGTAATACCCCAATTACACAAACTATTGCCAGTGAATCATGCCGGCGAATATGCAATGTAAATGGGGTGTGCGCAGAGCCACAAAACTGCACAGTCAGCATCTGGCTCTGCGAGTGAGTGATAATTAGCACTGTATGTAGACACTAATAAACATTTATGTCTGAAATTACAACTTTTAGCAATGTTAATAAGGGATATATTGGCAATCTGTAAAATAAAAGGTCTTGAAAAGAATGTCATACATTAAGCAATGGCAGACATTTCCCGTTCTTGCACAAGTCTTTCTTTTTTTCCCTTCCTAATTGCAACGGTCATGCTGTTTCACTGAGAAATTAATTGACATAAGAACCTACCTAAAAAAACAGGCTGTGTGTCTTTGGCCTCGCCATTTACATCACTGCTGAATTCTGAGACCGTGTACGCTTCATGGTGATAATCTGAGACAAAAAGACAGCCAAAAATTAGAATTCTAATGACCTGCAGAATATGAAGAAGTAATAGACTAGAATCCCAATTATAATGAAAAGTATCATCTATGCTTTAATTTATAAAGATAGCTTTCAAGAACCTAGTTAACCACCAAATTGTAGTGAGTAATAATCCCCAAAAACTTTGCTTACTCTGAGGAAAGCATACAACATTGAAATATTCCTTTGACGTTAGAAAACAGCTTTGTTTGATGACAATGTCGTTTTCACAGTAATTCTGCCCACAGATGCCAATTATTAAGCTTGTTTTTTTTGTTTTGTTTTGTTTTTCCAGGTGATAAGTATGCTGTTAAGGAAAAGAAAAAACTTCAGCCAATCACAGGCCAGGAAAGTTTCCGAATTTATCTCCACAACCCATTTTCTTGGGCATGTTAAAAGCACGCTTGTGTGCTACCTGGCACTGAGTTTCCACAGAATAAAATCCCTGTTAAGCACTTTAAAGGTGGACACATATTAAAAACACTGACTTGTTATCTCAAATACAGTATAATTTGGATAAGAAAGCAAGACTTTTATCTTTCACCCAAGTGAACTTTTTGCATTCAGCTACTGCCCTTTAATATGTAATTGTTTATTTTCTAAAAATGGACCTGCTGAGCAGAGTGAAGAATCAGGCACTTAAAAAAAGGAAAAAAAAATGTTGCTACATCAATCAAACCTTAAAATACATTATAAGCTTTGCTTTCACAGGCTCCTGGGCTTTGATGATCTATTTCTACAGAGAGGAATCACCTAACCATGAAAATATATATGGTCTTCAACATGGCTCTTCCCTTCTGGTCTTAGTCCTCATAGGCCAATGTCTATAAAACTACTTTCACTCTTAAGATAAGGTCATAAGTTTCTTGAGGTTATAAATATGAATGCAGCCTACATTCCTGAACGAATCAGATAGCACTAAAAGGCTAGTCACATATGGAGACTTTTAAAGTACAAATAATTGAGTAATCAGCACTGCTAGGGGGGAAATTTAAAAGAGGAAAGAGGCAAATATTTTTAATACCTAAAACCATTTTAGGCCTCTTTCATTAAAGTGTTCAAACTAAACCTGGGGGAAAGAGATATGATTAGATCTTCAAAATGTCTATAATCAAACCATTTTCAGACTAAATGAATGTATGCTGAATCCACATCAGTTAGCTGAGCTTACTTTGAAAAAACACTACTGCAATAGCCCTCTAATTTTCATCCGTTTGTAAGTGACTTCTCCAGGTGGTTAAAACACTTGGTTTTGCTCTCTTCTCTGATGCCAACGCTAATAAAACACCAGAGGTAAAGTGGCTAGATCTGTGGGTCTGGATCTGAAGTTGATTCAAAGAACATATTTGAGCAGGGTGGTTCTAAACTCAATATTAGAACGTGAGATATTACAATGAAAAAATCCTGCTGCCTCTAATTTAAGGAAATATAATACATTCTGAGTGACATATTTGTATGCCCGTTTTTATTTTTAGTTCTCAACATTTTTTTTATGCCAAATTAGGGAAATAAAGACTCTAACAAGTAATTGGATAGGCATAGCCTTGACTCTATGCAACTTTACCCTCCTCCAATAAAATAACCCAAGCCCAAAGTCTACAGTGTACACCTGTTAAATGATCAGGGACTAGAAAAGGTTGGGCTGTGTTTTGTGTTGTGTTTTCATTCCCTCCCCCCTTTTTTCCCAAGATACTTATCTGACTGGTAAGCGGTCTATCCCAAACTACCTTTCAAATCTAAATCACCTATGTAGAAAAGATGTTGGATGTCAAAATTTCTTATTTGGGCTTGTACACCTAATGAGCTTTTCCCTTCTTAAAAGAACCACCACCACCTTTTTTCTGGGGTTGGGGGAAAATCATTCGTAGGGATCCGTCCAAGCACAGCCTGATGGAAAGGCAATTCTCCCCCAATGCCCAACCTAGCCACAGGAGTGGAATACCAAAGAAGGCTCTTTGCTCCCGAAGTGTCATTGTTTGCTAATTTCCTGATATGCCCTCCGACTTGTTTACGTTAAATAACATCCTGCCTCCCCCCCGCACAACTTTCCCCGCGGCCGGGCTCACGGAGCTGCAGCCCCCCTCCGCCGCGGCCCCTCCTCCGACATCCCGCTCGCGAGGGGAGTTTGGGGGTTCGGGAAGACGAGCCCCCGGAGTTGAAGCCTGCCGCCGAGGGCGAGGGGCCGCGGGGCCCGGCACGGGGATGTTTACGCCGCGCGAAGTCCTTTCTCCCTCCCGCCGGCGCCGATCCCTACGACCCTGGCCCCCGGCCCTGGCCCGCCGTGTACCTCGGTTCACCAGTTTGAAGCTCTGGGATTTCCTGCTTCTTTTCCTTTCGGAGAACTCCATGGTGCTGGGAAGGAGGAAGGAGGCAGGGAATGTGGCCGGGGAGAGGGAGGCGGGAGGGAGAGAGGGGAGGCGGCGGCTGAGGCGGCGGCGGCGGCAGCAGCACTGGCTCTTGTCACCCAGCAGCGCGAGCAGCCAGGACCAAGGTCCGTCTCTTTAATCAGCAAAGGGGGAAGAAAAAAAAAAGGAAAGGGAAAAAACCACCTCGCACGAACTCGGGTGCTTCAGCTTTCGGGTCTCGGTAGGAGGCGGTTTCCCAAGGAGAAGTTGTCCCTTTCTCTTCACCGCCTCCCTGTGTCCTACACACCCCCTTGCCCCCTTCTAATTCCCTTTTAAAAAACGAATCCGAAGCTGAACTTTCCGTTGGGGACCGAGTTGGGGACAGGGTGTGAGGCGGGGAGGAGCGCGTTGGCAGCGGGGTCTGATCCTGCCGGCGCCCCTGGG